TTGAGACTTTGAAATACCTTGGGACTTTGAAATTGCTGAGGACTTGAAAATTCCTCACCCAAATAATCAGAAGTATAATTTGGGACTTTGAAAAATGCATAGAAGTATCATCGATTCCACACCCGCTTTCCGTGACAGCATAAATGAAAATCATCATTAGCCTTAAGCGGAAATTCACAAAGCCCTAATCATCATTTGTCACTTTAAAAAAAAAAAAATATTAACGATATAATTACACTATGGTTGGGGGATTTGGGTCTGTGTTTTCCATTAAAAAAATTGGTTGAGGGATTTAGTATTGGCCATACAATGAATCAACTATAATAATGTGGTATCGAATTTGTTTTTAACGGAAATCAAAGCTAAGACTTTCCATTTATAAGTGGAAAATAATACCACTACTAAGTGACATCGTTATTTTTCACTTCTCCAAATTGTTGAGTCATAAACGGAAATTTGTTCAGAGCTACATATAGGAAAATTTGTTGGGTTTGTGATCATAACATCATCATGTCGGTTATAAAGTATACATGTTATAATATAAATAAACAGCATGCTAGTACTAGCCTAACCTTTTGTTTTTTGGTGTGAGTTCGGTAGGCCTATAGCGACTTATGAACAAGGTGTTTCCACAAATAGCCCAAAAGGCTATAAACCTGAATATTTCAACAAGAAAGGGAGATACAGAAAACACAAAATCACAGAGATCTTCAACACCCTTAATATACAAGATTTAATTAGGCCATTAAAGAGAGGAAAAGAAGCAAAGAAAACTTGATGGAAACCCCTAAACTACGTAGAGTTTCGTATCATCGCATGTATGGGAATTCCTCCACTTAATAACTGCCTCATCTTCAGATTCCAACTTCCACTGTAGAATCAAGTGGTGTCTTTTCATGCTGACCGCTACTAACTAAAAACAGGCAAACTTCCATTATAAATATTCTAAAGCTAAATTGCTATTCGGACTCGCTCTTTGAGCGGCTCATACTCAACTTGTTTATGTGTTGCGTAGAGTCGCTCAAAGAAAGTTTGAATAGCAATCCAATCTATCAAGCTATCCATGAAAACTTAACACAGAAAAAAAATTATGAGAACATAAGTAAGCTTCACGTACGTTGTAGAGTGGAAGGCTGTGAGCTCTTCAATACCCGAAGCCTCTTTGCCGTGGATGCAAACATGCTGCAATTGTTAATAGGAAGAAATGAGAACCATGTCACAAAACAAATCTCCAGAAACAGCTACAATTTTGAATTTTACAAGATATACAATAATATGTGGGTGGTGCTATCCACACACCGCTCACAAAGAATGTATGAAAAGTAAAAAATGATGTATGGATAGCACTACCCTAACATGTATGTTTCTAATTAAGTGCTTTATGTTTTGCTAATTACTGAATGATTGTTCGTTTAAATTATGGATGTTTAATATGAGAGTTTAGTCAATAATAAACTAAATAATACTTGAGTTCTCACTAATCAGTACCAATAATTTAGTAAAGTTAGTATTGTAATGCTTACTTCCATGGGACGTCACCAACAAGCATCCTGTCCCCTTCATTATCCTCATAGAGTAGAGTATATTCCCCATTGCCATGTAATGATTCAGTTCTTGATTTGGTCTCTCCCTTCGTGTCTTCTTTCTCCACACCACAACAAACTCTTTGAGCTACATATTGACATATAAAAAAAATAATAGCAAGTTAATAAATCACAGTTGTACATGTGAAACCAAAAAAATATCTAGTAAATAATATAAACGAATTAGTACTAGGAGCTGAGTTTCTACACACACAAAGTAAAATAAATAAATAAAATAACCTGCAAGAAGACCTTGAAAGAGTTCATATATGGCAAAAGAGAGTTTCTCATAACTATCATAGGCTTTGAGGTTAATTTTTCTTCCGATGGGAACTCCTTCCATGTTGATCTTTACAAACATGTGGTGCTTGGAATAAGTAGATCTATCAGATTTTCCATTTCCCTCCTTCGAAATTTCATTTGGTGACTCCGAATCAGCTGCCGGGTTTGCAAAGCTTGATGATGATGATCTGCTTGCAAGATTTTTCCTGGATGAACGGATCGGAGGCCACCCGACAACTGGAGCATGTACAATTCTGCTTTTACTGGGGTAGCAAAGAAAATAATAAAATTAGTATAGTATTTACTGAAGTATCTCTAGACTCTATATTTAATCATTCAACTCCACAACAAGAGCTAATTTCATGTCAACTACTCAACAACTTTGTATGCTACTACATGATAAATTTTACATTAATTAGCTGATCACATGCTTAAGATAAATTCCTATAGCATGACCATTTGATCTAGAGCACTTAGTCTCTATTTTATTGAAGGAAGCTCTGAGTTCAAATCTCATAGACGACAATTGTTTGATATGAATCGAAAAGATTGATTCCCTTATCCAAACCATCTTTAGTTGAAGCAAATAAAGCAAGAAAAGATATAGAGTTGTACCCTTTCTGATCAGAGTCAGTAGCTGCAGCTGAATTCGTAAGTTCAGAAGCACTAGCTGCAGGATCTGATGATGAACTGTTTGCCAACCACTTTCTCTCTTCTTTTTTCTCCTCATGACAGACTCTTTTGGCTTCATGAGGAATATTGTTGTTGTTGTTGTTGCAGCAACCAAGGGAGAGAAGTGACTGACGATCTTCTCCTCCAGGAGGACCCAGCCTCAGCTCCAGCTTTTTGTCTTCAGCTGCAACATACCCTCTCTTATTTGCTCTCACAACCACTTCTTCATTATTCTCACAAATCATATTATACAACTTATCCATTTCTATATAGACCACGTTAACCTCTTCAAATCTCAAAATTTTGAAAATTGAAAACAGAAAACTGGAACGAACGCTGGACTTTTCAAATTACAAAGTAAAAGAACAAAAACTTCAAGAAATTAAAATCTGGGGTTTGTGCGAAACATGGAAATCTACTAAGGGAACCCAAAAACAGTTAAGTAGCTAGCCTTGAGAACCCTAAGTAGATGAGTAGTACAACACAGTGGTTGTAGATATGGAGATATATAGCAAATTCTTCCAATAACTTGCTTTTTGGAGACTCAGGTTGGACTAGTAACAGAGCACATGCAAGAAAAGGAAAATGTTTGGGAAGATTCCTTGTCTGGTATTTTAGACTCAAAAATACAAAATATAGTGTTAAAAACAAGTAACAACCGTGTTGGTGGAATAAGTGGCCGGTCACATATAGATGACACTGTGACAAATGACCGAGACAGCATTCAGCTCAACATACTCAATGTGCCTATATGTGCGGTGTGGGTGAGAGAGCGAGATAAGATAGCGAGAGAGATGAGTCTGGTTATTGAGAATTTTTCATGTTATGTCATGAGTGTGCAATATGGTTGATGTCTCACTTCTATGATATATTGATAAATTAAACTATACATTGCGTTATATTTAAGCAAAATAATAACAATATGTGACGGTATTCTGAGTACATAGAAAAAAATTTGTTGCTTATTATTCTCTTCCTTGAAAATAAAAAAAGAAGGAGAAAACAAAACACATGCCTACAATTTCATCTGGGAGCCACCCAACTTGCCAAGGCGTTGTCCTTTCTGTTACCCTTTTTCTCATAGTGCATACCACATAAGCCTGGCTGATAGACGAAATGACATCAATCAGGTGAGGATGCACAACCGTCCGTTTGTTAACTTTAATCAACTTCACAACTTAATTAGATGTGTGACATCCCACATCGCCCAGATGAGTGATCCTTATATGTATATTCCCATCCCTACCTAGCATGAGGCATTTTGGGAGTTCACTGGCTTCGGGTTCTATGGGAACTCCGAAGTTAAGTGAGTAGCGCGCGAGAGCACTCCTAGGATGGGTGACCCATCGGGAAGTTCTCGTGTGAGTTCCCAGAAACAAAACCGTGAGGGCGTGGTCGGGGCCCAAAGCGGACAATATCGTGCTACAGTAGTGGAGTGAGCCCGGAAAATGGTCCCGCCCAGGCCGGGATGTGACAAGGCTCACACTTGGGAGAAATATAATTATGTGTCTAACTAGTTTGTGTAAAGAAAAGGATAGATACGTGATTGTATAGGGTTGAGGATTTAGGCGGAGTATTTAATTAATTAAAATTACATTCTTAATTAAATTTAAGTTGTGCCTATCAGATATAAAGATATGGGGGTCATTACTACATTGAAGCACAAGTGATACCGACTTGGATTAGAATTGAAGGAACAGTCAGATATATGCCGCAGTAGCCATAGCACTATTTTGTATATTCATGGAGAAGACTTCCTAGTCACCAAAAAGTAGTGGTCCTTCAACTCCACTAGCTAAGCCACGCAAACATGTGCTTGTAGAAATACTTGCATGCAAATTATAGTCACACTTAGATCTTAACAACCTGGTTAAGCTGGTTTAAGACTCACATAATTGCATTTTGCACTACTTATATGGAGATTTATGTCTTTTATGCAAAAAATTCTTAGCTATTTTTTTGCATATGTTTCTCATATACGTGACATAATAGATAAATATCAAAAGATATATAATCGATTACATATCCCATTCTCTCTTTTGCGCATGGCATTGTATTTGATGGGTTGGGTTGGTGGGGAAAGCCTACCTTCGATTACACCATTTTTTGAGCTGTGCCCTTCATTAAATTTTGAATTTGTTTGTTCTTGGAAGAAAGCAACTTATGATCAAATGTTCAATGAATGTTGCACATAGGGCAAAGTCGTGATGATCATCATTTGCAAGGCCACCCCTTTGCGATTGCCATAACAAGAGGTGGCTAGTGGTGGACCCCTACATCCCACTTATAAAGATTATCATCACTGCCCTCAACCCGTCAATCAATCTTGACAAATCCTAACTTCACTTTAGGCTCTTTTTGCTTTCTGCTCTCTTCATATTCTTCACCCTCCTTGATTGTTGTTATCATTGCAAGTTTTTTGCGCTCTAACAAACTAGGAGTCTGATTCTTTTTTTTTTTTTTTTTCTTTCTTTCTTTTTTTTTTTTTATTTGAACGGTTATGGTTAAGTTACGTCAACATCTTATATTAATTTTTTATAGCAAGAGAAAGATAAAATAAAAAAATGTGAGAGGAGGTAAGAGAATCCTATTCCAACAAACCATCCAATATACCAAACCAATGCTCTTGATAAATGATGCCCTCATATATATGTTCCAGCAAAGAATCTTCTTTGTTCAGGACTTTCCGTTCTTTTTTTTAGAAGGATGAACGAGTCAATAAAATTTCACTTATGTTCAATTTCATTTAACTTTCATCTTTTGTGTTAATAAGGTTGATGTTTTAAAGGAAAGTTAGATATTAAGTTTGTCATGTTTACGATGAAGAAGTTAAAACATAAATGATTAACCAATTTGAAGACTAAGACTAAAAAGTATTAAACTTAAGCCCTAAATGTTGATTATGCATCCTAAATAATCAATCACTTTTTTAAATAAAATTAAAGTTGAAGAAGATTGAGAAGTGATATTTTCTCGAGAACCAAATATTGTGTAAAAAAGAACTTTACATATGAAGTATAATACATACATATATATATATATATATATATTAATGCATCTTTGTATTCATGATATGCACATTATTTGCTATGATGGTGACCGTGATAAGTAGAAGGCATTGGAATATTACTTCTCCACAATGACTAAGACATTGAAAAATCACATACACCAATGAGACTCATCACTCCCTTCAAGTCATGAGTGTTTGCATATACATATAAAACAGAAGTGCAAATTTATTAATCCCATAAAAGGGCCAAGATAATACATAATTTAGAGTCGCATGCAAACCATAGAAGATCTACATCTGCATTATTGGTACGCTAATTAAGACCCATATTTATTGAAACACATATAACTTAACTTCTATGGCCAACCAAAATTGAAAAACTGCATAATACTCCGGCTTAACTTGATATTTTAAAGGTAAAACCCTCGGACCAGAAAATGATAAAATGGTGGTGATGACAGCTCTTTTCTCCATATTATCAACTTGGCATCTCAGGCAATTCTGTGGCACTAGACACGCTGTACTAGTCCTGCTTGCCTTCTCAACTACAGATGCACAAAACACACACATATATAGATGAGAAAAAGAAAAACTAGCTAGTTACTTAACTTCCCTTTCCCGAGGATATATATCCCCGCTCTTTTTCGCTCATATCCTGGGTTGATGAGTGAGAAGAAAGAGATCGAGGCGGATTTATCCAATTCTTACAAGAAAGTTTTTACTTGCCCAAGGCACACAACTAGAGAGAGTAATACCTGAAAGTAATTTTCAAGGTGAATCCTCAAGGTCTGGTGTTCTTGTTTCACTCTCTCCAAAGCCCTGACGCATCTGCATATAATCAATCACAATGAGGTCCCAGCAAGCAGAGAAGTGGGGGGAAAATTGGTTACAAATAGATGAAGTATGTTTTTACCCATCAGCATTAGCAGCCAAACAAAATTCTTTAAACTGGGAGCATTCATTCTTCACTTTTATAGCTCCAATGCTGTTACAAATTTACCTTTAATCAATACATTAAATGGAAAAACAATATATTTATTCAAGTTAAATTCCAATCAAAGCAAGTAGTACTGGTACCTTGAAGTACTACCCTTGAACTGGTGCATGTAATCATCCAGCTTGGCAAAATCTATAGGCCTACTGTACCTGCATAACTCAGTGTAAAAATACATTCATCTTAGTGCTACTCATGGTATACTTAGTTTCGATAATACGAATGTATATAGTGTATATAATTGGGGGTGCTATTTACTTACAGTGCTTGCTCAATCTTTTGAAACAGTCTAGCTGAATCTTTGTAGAACAAAGTCACAATTTCCTCCACAAAATTTGGATTTGCATCGTCTTGCAATTCCTCCAGCTGAACGAATTGCTGAGGATCGAGGTAACACTGCAAACATTCAAGTAAATAATTGTAAACGTTATGTCTTTAAACATGTTCTAGCGTACCATTCTTTTTCTGGTATGGTTTCAGAGCCATGATATGCAATGCCCTGATAAAAATAAAGAAAAACTAATGAAAATGATTTAAAAACTTTGAGTTTTAACGATAAAGATAAAATAAATGGTAAAGTGAATAGTACCATAATTGACTTTTTAGTGTAAAAATATGATTTTTTTGTCAAAATAAATAGTACCGGAAGCTTTTTCGTTAAAATTTCTTGAAAATAAAAAACTTTTGTCATCAATCTGATCGAAATGGCTAGGGTTTGTTGTACATTCAAAATATTGGGCTTCGGCGCTTTATCCATGAAATATATTTGGGCCATTCTAAAGGTCACTTTCAAACCCACACCAAAAGAGATGGACGGTATTAAATGGAAAATGATTGTAAATTAAGCAACTAGGGTTGGCGGAGTGTTGAGGGTGGGTGTAGGCTATAGGTAGAAGTAGACTAAGTTTGAAAGCTCAAAATTCTCTAATGTAACAAAAAATAAAAATTACGAGAAAATTAAATAAAATACGAAAACAAATGTATTGATCAATTCATCAAAACTTGAGAGCATGTCGATTTTAAAGAAAATCAGCATTTACGGACCAATAATCCCCTCCAAACAAAAACTGGAAAACCTTAGTAGTCGAATAACCACATATCAAAACCATTCACATTTGGTGAAACATGAAAAGTTATCGGTGTAGAGTATACGACATGCACTTTTCAAGATGTTTAGAGGCCAAAGATAGGGTTTGAAACAGACAAAAAAAAAAAAAAAAAAAAAAAAGAGGAACAAAAAAAGAAAAAAAAAAAAGAGAGAGAGAGAATCAAATTAGTAACCTGCTCAAAGAGAAAGCTTCTCTTGAGGGCAACCTGGCGCTGCAGTTGGTTTCTGTCCATTCTCTTCGTTTAAAACGAAAAACTTGGAAATGGTATGTGAAAAAGGCAAAAACTGGACTAAAAAACCCCCACAAAAAACTTCTCGTTTTAGAGTAGAGTAAGAGTAGATGACTCAATGATATGCCTTAGTATGGCAACATGGCAAGCCAACGTATTTATAGCATGTCGAGTAGAGAGTGAATAAAGGCACACAAAAAAATCTATGAGGGGTACGTGAAAATATCTTGGCTTCTCTATCCAATTTGGTCTAGCAATGAGTAATGATTATCTCTCTTTTGACAGACAAATAGAAGACAACGATAAACGTCTTTTCATTTAACGAATGAAATCAAATTCATTGAATCGTGGATGAAAACATAGGAGCGCTAACCGTTGGATTCAAACTTGCTGGTATTTTTAAGATTGTACTCTTTGTTTGCGATAAAAGAAAAGATCTTTAATTGTGAAATAAAAAACAGAGGAAACTAAAGAAAAACCCTACAACACTAAGTTGGCAAGTTCGACAATTTCGTTATCTTTGGAGGGGAGCCTACACTCTTCAGCGAATAAAACTTGCTTTATTTGTGACTAAATTTCTAAAGATTAAATTGTTTTCAAATAACTTCCATATAAATTACATATAAATATAATAATAATAACTCCTAGATATATTTTTTTTGTCAAATAGGAACACTTTATTAAATTCTAATTAAAATATTTATATCTTCGACCAACATATTAAATAAGAATTCAGAAACAATACAATCCCAATAATGGGAACCACCATTCCTCATTATTTAAGATAAATTTGACGTAAATTATCTTAACGTACGAAAAATCAAATCAAACGAGAAATAAACTTTGTCCCACAAGACATATTTATGGTCCTGTTGAGAAAGCGTGTCACACAGGCATTGCCCGTTAGAGAGCACACATCCCGCATGAGCTTCCTGCTTCGTTGTATCCCACATAGCACATACGATCCAACTTTGGAACAAATCCTAGAATCCTTCTTTCCTCTTAAGGACGTCGAGATTGTGATCGCAATTCGCAAAGCCCAATGAACGTCTCACAAATGCACAAAAATACCTCCCCACTTTTCCACATGTGAGGCGATTTAAGATTTTTAAGATTTTATTTTCTACTTGGTAGTGGTTGGCTTGGCACATATACTCGCCAAGTTCCCCAAGTGCTTATTCTTCCATCTCTCTCTCATCTTCATTCTGGTTCGAGCACTGCTAAGGACAATCGTCCACCCACGAGTTGGCAATTTCCAGTTGCTAATACAAGCTAGTGATCCATCATCCCATAATGTATGAAAGTCTGAAAGTCGCTCAGTTGAGCATGAACGATTGTTCTTAGCATTTCTCTTCTAAACAATAGGCAAATCAATTTGTTCTTCATCCATATATATATATGTGTGTGTGTAAAAATATATGATCCACTTTAAGGAGTTGAGAATTTGAGTAATGAGCCGGTTAATAATTAGGTATTCACCATCCAAGTGAGTTGAATAAGAGATTTCCTACTTACAGGTGGAGAGAAATACAACACCACCAATACCACAACTTAGGAGGGACAAATCAAAGATCAAATAAAGGGATGCCAAAACACAAATTTGCTGCAGACCATATAAGAGGATGACACAAACTTTCTCTTAGCAGCCCAAAGGAAGAACCTCTAGCTTATTTTACAAGGCACTTAGTAATAAAAGCTTAGTATTCTAAAGGTATATGCAGATAGGGATCAAGTAGATGAATATAGTATTATGTAACCAAGAATGCATACAGTAACAATGATTGAGATGAGAATAAACCTTTTCGAATTTGCAGGCGTTGTCGCGGTGGTCCTTGTCGCTTCTTTCTACGTCTCTGCAATTATCACGAAAATGTTAAAAGGGGAGAAAGATGAGCAGAGAGGAGACGCGTCCCTTTATTCTCTTGCCAGATAACAAGAGAGACTGAGAGAGGTGGGAGGAAAAAGACGAAGATTTTAGAGAGTGCCACTGCCATTGACCTTTCACTGTCTTTGTCAGCGTTACTGTCAATGCGTGGTCACCGGCTCACAGCTGCTTTTCTTTTGTAAAGAAAACAAGGCCATGGGTGGATGGATGAATGGGATGAGAATATGAATATATGGTTGTTCCAATCATTGGAAGGATTTATATTCTCTCTATCGCTATCTACTGTGCCGATAAGAATCATGATAAACCTTAAGCTTCTAAAGAAATATACGAGCTTCCGAAAATCAAATTTACTAACCAAAACTAGAGAAATATAAAGTACCAGAATCAGCTTCACCAGGTCTAAGAGCAGCAAATGTGATCATCTCAAGTAAAATTGAATAATTATCATATCACTAACAAGCAGTGTTTTAAAAGGCTTGCCTAGGCGGCCTCTAAGACTGGGCGTCAGTGTTTCCGCCTCTATTTTGAGGAAGTGGCCGGAAGGCTTCGCCAAAGCACGTCTAGGTGGCGGAGGCAGGCCTTAGGACTTCTGGGGTGTTTATCTGGGCCTTTTTTTCATCAAAATCCAAGTTTTGTGAAATGTTTTATGCCGTTAAAATTTCAACGAAGAAAAGAAGAAGAGACTTTTCTCTCTCAAATCCCATAAATTTCCATAATAATTGCTCCATCAACCTTTATTTCATTTTAAATATCTTGTAAATACTCCACTCAACCCTTTATTTTTGCCATTTATTTCATTTTAAATACCCTATAAATACTTCACTCAACCCTTTATTTTCCTTTAAATTCCCATAATTATTGCTTTATATCATTTTAAATACCCTATAACTACTCCACTCGACCTTTATTTCCTTTTAAATTACTTATAATTGCAACATTCAACCTCTATTTTACTTGAAATTTTCCTACAATTGTGACCATTCATCTTTATTTTCCTTGAAGTTCTCTATAATTGCTTACAATAAAATAAATAATTATAACATTTTGAGACTTTATGACATAGTTTCCAAGTACAACTAGACTTAGTAATAAAGAATATGATACTATCTTTGATTTAGTTATAGTTATATTTGTTTTTACAAAGTATTATATTGTTATAAATATACTTATATAATATATATAACAATGACATCATGCCTCGCACCTAAACTAGGCTATCCATTGGACGCTTGGCCACGCCCCCACCTTTTAATACATTGCTAACAAGAGGAAATTGTGGAAAGATGTGGAACAACCAGTAAATAACGGTTTGACGATTCCACGCGGATTAAAATTCTACTGTAAGAAAACGAACAAATCACATAATAATTTATGAACTAATCGCATTATATTACATTTTAAAGTCGGGTAAACTACCAATTAACGGAACAATATAAGTAATTCATGAAAAAAAACACCTATCCGGATGGTGGCAACTGCAACAATTAAATATTCGAGGCCTTCCCATTAAAATATCTTTTCAGTTTTCACTCATCAAGAATATGCTTATGGTTGGTTGTTTTGCTCCAAAAAATAATTTGTGGGTCATCCATTCTCCAAAGTTGACTTTAAAGTTTCTATCTTACTGGTCCTTTCAAATGAATTCTTCCTGCAGCATCGGCTCCGCTCATCTCCGCAAGAATCCCATAGCCTGGTAGGCATTATTGAGAGTATTATCAGCTATACCTGCAGCTGTGTTAGCACCTTCTGCCAAAATTCCATCCAAATAAGCTGAGTCAGAAATGATTTCCTCGTAGCGAACCTGCAAAAGCAGAAAATATATCTTTGACGAACAATGCAAAGGTGTAGACAAAGCAGATTACAAAATATACACACATGAAGAAATATAACCACAGACTTGATGCATAACAAATCACTTAGAAACTATATTCCCTGCCAACTCATTCACATAAATTTGCAGCTGTGCATCCCTTGCAATAAAATCCATTTCCTAATAACTAAAAGCCAATCGTGTCAGGAGTATAGCACAGTCGGGGTAAATGATTGTCGCTTAAAAAGCATAAACATGCCCTTGGAAGTACATGGAAATTTTTGTTTTCAAGTTATGAAGAGATGGGAAAACAGGAAACTACATACCTGCACAGATGGTTCACATAAAGCATAGAATCAAACGCCTAATGCATGATGGCAGTTCCAACCCAAACTATGAAAAACATTAAGCATGCACTATCACTAGTGTAGAAGGATAATATATGCACTGTACCAACCAATAGAAAGAAAAAGTGCTCCCATCAATAGGCATAAATAATGCATATTAACCGTCCTGAAAACATGACCGATCAAAAAGGATGAGAAGTGGATATTGAAACCTGGATAGGATGCAGATGATCAATCAACGCATCAGATAGGACTGATTTGAAAGTGCCCCAGTTCATGTATCGGCATTCTTCTGCAACTTCCTGCAACAATAAAGGTTTACCACGGTAAGACATCTCAAACCTCCTAGTAATGTTCTTTCTTTTTGTTTTTGGAGAAATAACAGTAGTTTTCTTAACTATAATATTGTCAGTCATTTCCATATGGTACTCAAATTTTCACAAGTAGAAGTTTATGTATATGAATCTATGTATAATCAAAGGCATTAACCTAATGAAAACTCAAATGAAATTTATTACCTCTTTTGTCTTTTCCGAAACAAGCTGATATATTGACAGAAGGTTGTTGCACTCAGGCCTTTCAGGATTATCAAATTCCATACTACAAGAATTACCATATGAAACAAAAAACAACATAGATTAGTTTATCAGACCTACCAATAAACAAATAACAAAACAGAACGATGACCCCAACACTACAGTAATATCAATGAAGGATAACATCTAAAGACAAGCTTGAAGTGATGAGGATAGGTATTTACCCTGAAAATGAGTCAGTCTTGCACCTCTTTATTTTGTTTGATATGACCTACAGAACAATTGAGACAGTTAGATCAAGTTGACGGAGAAACCTAAAACAAAACTGGAATAGAATAGGAAAAGGAAAATAGGAGGCCTAACGAACTTTCCATGAGAAAGATAAATTTGTGTATCTCACATCTTTTGGGTCCAGAAGATTGATTCGGGACTGGTCAGAAGGCGCAGATTTGGACATCTATGACAATGAAACCAAAAATGTCAGTAAGCATAAGAAGAAGATTCTTCTTCATATAACTGATGACAATACTTAAAAGTTAAAACATACTTAACACATGCCTACAAATAGGTGGGAACTAGTCATAAGAGTCCAATTAGGGAATAGCTAGAATTTTGATCATGTGTTCCGTTTACCCTACATTTTTTAATTCTGATATTCAAGGATCTCATTCTTACCTACTACTTTGAGATGTTATGATAATAATAGTAACAAGGCAAACGGAAATTGTAAGATGATGAATTTGTTCATATCATCAAGTAATTGGTATACTTTAGAAACTTATGTTACACAATTATATTGGTCATTTGAACAATCTGTACAAAAAGAAATAGCAGGATATAATACGGGAGTATTTGGAAGTCCTCGTTTCTATTTTCCATTCTTCTACTGGAAAGCATTGAAAACTATAAAAACAAATCCCTATCACATCCCTTTATTACCTCAAGTGGTTTTGGTACATGGTCTTAACATTTTTTCCTGCAATTTTTTTACTCATTTTCTCCCTTGATGCTACAAAAATATATGTATTTTCACCACAATAACATAATAATTTAATCAGAAAATAATATAAATTATACTGCACTACGTAATTATATGAGAACTCAAAATGTAGATCACCTTGGAAAGACCATCAGTTAGGGACATCACTCGAGCTCCAACTGGTGGTATAAGAGCCTCAGGAACCTAATAAAGAAGGGGCATTTGTATTACTTATGTTATTGATGAGCTCAAGTTAAGGGCTATCAAAAAAAAAATCTCCACCTTAAAAATTGAACCACCTCGCCTGCAACAACATATAAATATCAAGGGTCAAGTTCTACACAGAGACTTTTGGTAAAGAAGTCAATGCAGAGATAGGGTGAACACATTAAACGGATATTTGTAAGTTTAAGTTGTGCTATAGCTTCTCACCCTCCCAATTTTTTCCATTTCCTTCCTCCAAATAAATGATTAACACGCTCAGCCAGTTCACGTGTCAACTCCAAATGCTGCTTTTGATCTTCACCAACCGGGACAAAGTCAGACTACAGAAGCATGCAGAGAAATATAAGAATAACATATAGTTTAATGATTAATCTACCATACGCATAGTGAAACAAGTGCACAAAAAAGCACGCACTGCTTTAAGTGCTCCAGATTATTATACCTCCTTAAACACAATTCAATTCTTACCTGATATAAAATTTTAGATCCTTTATAAAGCTGCAAATTTTGAAGTTTACCTGATATAAAAGAATATCAGAAGCCATCAAAACAGGGTAAGTCAAAAGACCAACACCAACATTTTCGTCCCCCTACAATAGTCAAAACAAAACAATGCGATTTACTTGAAGTGTAGATAGTAACATGTAAGCATCTGTAATGATAACCAATTTGAAGCTATTTCTATGAAGAAACCCAATTTGAAATGTAATGCACATTAGTAGTGACAAATGACAATCTACAGCATGGTACAAGGCATAAGTCAAACTACAAAATTAAAAACAGGGTGAGACCGATAAAGACAATGGACAACAATTATAAGTATGTATTATATGTAAGGCATGTCATCATTGAAAGCACTTTTCAGTTGATTAGATACAGAACCATGATGGAGCTTTCGTACAGCTAAAAACGCACCGCCTTGCGTGATTTCTCTTTAAACTGAATCATTCTGTTTAGCCAACCGACAGGCGTGACAGAACTTAAAAGCCACATCATTTCTGCATGGGCACGAACATGAGACTGCACAAAGACAGACGCCTGCGTATACAAATCATAATTAAAATATTCAGCAAAAGTACAATGTTCTAAACAACAACACAAAGGACTAAAGTTGACTAGACCTTGGAGGTATCCACTCCACATGCCAAATAAAGAGCTGCTGTATCCCTTGTCGCCTTGGATAGTTGTTGTGCATCATACGGTAATGTAATCTGTAAGCAAAAACTTTGAAACATTAAAGATAAACTCATTATTCCTATCCCTTCTATAAGAAGGAAAACAAACCCTGACCCTCAATCTTTCTCTATAAATTCAAATATCTACATATGTTGAACCAAAAAGCAGGACACTTTGGCGAATGAATTTGAAAATTCAAGTTTTAACAACGTGAATGCTTTAGAGAGAGAAAGAATAGAGAAAAAAGATAGAACTCTACAGTTCTCACAGCCACAACCCAAAAAGGAAGACAATGCATGCTGTTCTATTTGTTTAAATTTATGAGCAGCAAGTTATTTCTTGGATACTACATAGAATGTTGCAAAAAACATACATCAATAGATACAATGAGGGAATGATTCTGCTCTAACTATGGCACCATGTGCAGTAGTAACCAAAATGGAAATTAAAAAAAGTTAAAATGACAGGAAAGCCATACCGCATGAAGGTCCACAATGAAAAAGAGAGTATCATATGTATTCTGCAACAAAATAAGAGTCATTGCATATTAGCTTACCGTATAGTGTATATATACAATATGCAAAGCAATATTTTCCAAAGCACACAATTTGGCGCTACCTGTAGCAAAATCCAGTTTCTTATGGCGCCAAGATAATTTCCCAGGTGGATTGAACCCGTCGGTTGGACTCCAGACACTATCCTCTTCCTATAAATCAAAGATCCAATGAGATTGAATATAAATCTGATTACTATTGGATATATTTGTTAACTACAGGCCCTTGAGCATCCCTGAAAAACAAAACTACTTCAAATTACATCAGTGAAGAATTTGGCATCAATGCAAAAAAGAAAGTATACATAAGCATGCTTAAACTTAATAGTGCATGGAACTTACATACTAGTAACGAAATTGAAACAAACAAAAGAACGTGATTTTTTTCTAAGAAACAACAATTGAAATACAATTGCACTCATTTGAAGCCGTACATAGGTTTAAGCAAGGGTTTAGTCGCCGGTGCGGGATTCACACTCTCAACACCATCAAACAGATGAAAACCCATGAGTGTGTAAATCGAAAAGCCAAAAACTTCGAACATTAAAGAAGTAAAATCCTCAATCTATAACCACAATGCACATAACCAACAATCAAATAATAGTAAGGATTACTTTACAGAGCTGGGAGAAGTCTCCGGAGCAGCGGGCTGCGAGAGCGAAACGCTGCAGCAGCACCGAAAACCGCCGGCGTTTCGAGCGCTTTGAAGCCGAATCTGCGGAATTGAAGTAGGCGCTTTCCATTGCCGGATTCGAAATCCACCAGCACACCTGCTTCAAGAAAAATCATCACTTGAAAGTGCGAATGAAAAATGGAAGAGGAAATTGAAGAGAGAGAGAGAGAGATAGAGAGAGTACAGGGAAGATGCGAGGCGAGGAGAAGAGGCGGTGGAGACGGTGAGGAAGTGGGAGAGGACTAGGCGACCCATGATGGCCCTTGCTTTGATTTCGCGGCTTGGAAAATTTTATCCGGCGAGCTGTTTTCTATGGGGGCCACACCAAACTGCTGATAAGAGAGTTTAACGGCTGCCAGACGAAATTTCAGAGAGACCCACTGACGGCGTGGGATTACGATTCTCTCCCTCACATTTTCATTCTCTTCCACCTCCTACTCTCACATTATCTACTTTATTTTTCTCTTAATATCAAAAAGTAATATAAAATATTAATATAATTTAACTGCAATCGTTCAAATAAAAGAAAAAAAAAAAAAAAGAGAAGAGAGAATCCGTTGTGATCAGATTAACGAGGTTAACAGGGATTCTTTCATTTTTTACAAAAATTAATGTTTTTTTTGTTTTTTTAACAATATTATTTTCATAATAAATTATTAATAATATTATTTAAATTCGTTTTTAACAATAATTAAATTTAAAACTCTTTACGTCGTACAAATATTATGAGTATGACACGTCGGCACCGACGGCGTGAAATAAAAAACAGTGTACAAGAAGCAGCTGAACTGGGAATTTCAAAGGACGGGAGAAAAAGACAAAGTCGCTCCAAACTTCTCAATTCTTCCAAGCAAAAAACCCTAACGAGCCAAACTCCCACAGTGCGATAGAGATGGACGATGATCGAATTCTGGCGCGAGAGAGGCGGCAGATGGAGGAGATCCGGCAACTCGATCTCGAAGAACTGCAGGTCGAAGAGGTCGACGACGACTCCTCCGGCGACGACCGCGACGCTACGTAATCATCATTTCCCCCACTTCTACTCTAACTCATCAGAATTTCAATTCGTTTGATTAATTTGGGAACTAGGGTTTCGAATTTTTTATGTGACGAGTAACAAACTCAATTTTGGTATTTTATGTTTTTATTTGAATTTTTGTCATATCAGTGTTGTTAGTTGATTATATATAATTTGTTACACTTTTTTATACATATAGTGTGATCATACATTGTTTTGGAATTTTCTATGAGGAATAACAGTCAAATTGAGAAGAAATTTTGTGTTTTTATTTAATTATCCCATTGATTTGTTGTTTGAGAAAAGTGGTCGGCACACGTCCGATGATTATGCCTTCGATACCTGTTTGGCTTCGCTGCATACGTATCTTGGTGGTAGGCATTTGGTCTTGTACTTCCATTTTTATACTTATTTGTTCCCAATTTTCCATTCAAAGTGTTGGTGTTTAGTTACACTTTAATTGAAACAGAGGTTGAAGACACTCATCACAGGGTGGCTTTTCTTGATGGGGGCGCCGTCTTGAAGCTCCCTATTTTCTATCTCGAAGGTACTATCATTTTACATTTGATTGTTAAATGATTTCAAACCTCAGTTTCTCCTCTTGGTAGCTGTTGAATATGCTTGGCATTTTAGCGTAACTGCATTAGCCACAGGTGTTAGCCATGTGGTGCAAAGTCGTATAGCCATTTTGGTAGTGAAGAAAAGTTTTTTAAGAAAAAAAATTGAACGTACCATGGAATAATAGGAGGTTGAGAGACAGTTAGATCACTAGCATATTGTATGGACAGAGCAATCATTTTTGAGATTATTGTTGGATGATAAAAAAGAAAGACTGTCATTTGAATGCTCTATATCAATAAAATTGTTCTGGACAGATGTTATCATGTTACAAGAGCCTTTTTTTCTTAACATCATTGTGTCTTAAGTATTTAGTTGCTTGGTAAAATTATCTAAAAAAATCAATAGAATCAAGTAACTGCTAGCCCTAAACGTATTTTTTTTTTCCTAATGAGCAAGTGGAATGAATGAGAAATAGAAGAGAATCAAAGTGAAGCCTGCTGTTAGTCTTGTTTTTGTTATCATTTTCCTCATATTCTTTTATGTTTGTATAAAGTATAAACTACTTTTTTTATGTTAAAGAGAACTTGGTTTTATCTACATAATATATGCAGGAGTTGTCCTCTTCCCAGAAGCAACCCTTCCCTTAAGAGTTATTCAACCGAATTTTGTACTATCTATTGAGAGAGCACTAACCCAAGTTGATGCTCCTTATACCATTGGTGTGGTAGGTGAACTCCTTGTGACAAGTAATGACTTGTTTTGCCCCTGCATTGGATTTCATTATGTATTGTTTCATGGTACTTTACCCTGAAATTTTTGTTCAGATTCGGGTATTCAGAGATCCTGATAATGGAAGAATAAGGTTTGCGAATGTTGGGACAACCGCAGAGGTATATTAAGTTTATTCTACTGCTCATAAGTAGAAACTGTTAAGTTGTCACCTATGCTATTTCATTTATAACTGCTGGGTTAATTAACTATTTATATTTCTTTTTTATAGATTCGGCAATATCGGCGATTAGAGGATGGCTCACTGAATGTGGTAACTCGTGGCCAACAGAGATTTCGTCTAAGACGCCGTTGGATTGATGTGGAAGGAGCGGTTAGAATTTTTTTTATGTTTGAGAGAGATGATCATTTGGTAACCTTTTATTTTTATTTGGTCATATTCATATATTTAGTGTCTTACTTGGTGTGAAATTTTCATCTGTCAGCCATGTGGAGAAGTCCAAATCATCCAGGAAGATATACCATTGAGGGCCCCACGGGATGCATTCAGAGATTTGGCACCATTTAGTAATCCAAGAGGCCATAATTTCTCAGTTAAACTGCCTTTAAATGATTCGTGTGCAGAGTCAAATGGATCTATGGATGTGGACAATGATTCAGAGACAAATTCAGATGAAAGCTTTGAGAGTGCACTGTCATTGACTGAGAGACAAGTTCACCAATCTGCAATTGGTTCCTATTCTGGATCTGATACAATGGAAGAATCAACAACTTCAAGCAGTGATGATGAGAAGTCACATTTACAATTGCAATCAAAAGACTCTGATTCTTCAGATTCATTGCATTCATGCCCTGAGATTAGTAATGCTGATTTGGCAAGCAGTTCCATGTCAGACATGCAATCCTGCAAACAGAAAGAGCCAAATAAATATTGGAGAAATACGGACTTAAATCAGTTTCGTAGAGTTCCAAGAGCATTCTGGCCCCATTGGGTATACTGCATGTACGACTCCTATTGTCTTGCTCAAAGAGCAGCAGGTATTTGACTTTTACTTTGGGTTTACACCTGATGTTTGAAAGGTTGTGATCCTTAATATGTTAGAAGATATTACCACTGTCTAGAACTAAAAATGAAAAAGGATCAGGCACTTACATTTTAAGTTTTATATGTTATTATTAACTGAAAACATTTCGCCCATTTTCTTGATTAGTTTTATAATGGATGTGAAACAATCTTAGAATTATTAGAATTGTTTGAAACAATCTTAGAATTGCTTGTGTGCTGTCATGTTTGAGGATTCAGCTTTACAGAGTTTGTCAATTTCTGGCATTACAGATATGTGGAAAGAGATAGTTGGGGCACCAAGCATGGATCGTCTTGTGAAGAAGCCTGATCTTTTGTCATTTTATATCGCTAGTAAAATCCCTGTCTCGGAATCTACAAGGCAGGAGCTTTTGGAGATTGACGGCATTTCATATAGGTTGCGTAGAGAAATTGAGTTGCTTCAGAGTTTTGATCTTATTCAGTGTAAAACATGTCAGGTAATGCACTTACTTCAGAACACTGCCCGTTGTGTGTTTTATTTACTCATGTTTTTGGTATACAATGCAGAGTATCATTGCGAGGCGGAGTAATATGCTGGTGATGTCAAGTGAAGGTCCTCTTGGTGCTTATGTGAACCCAGATGGCCACGTTCATGAGATAATGACTTTCTACAAAGCAAATGGCTTGGCACTTATAGGACCACCAACGAGTGAATACAGCTGGTTTCCTGGGTATGGACTTGTACCTTAATATTCTTCAGATTCTCTGACCAATTTACTATTTTGAAGAGCACCAATTCTTGTGCATTTTCATCTACTTTTTAGTACACTGATCGTCATTAAGGCCACTGATTAGTCTGTCTTGATTTGGCCCTTTAATGGTTTTCAAGTACATATTAATAAACTTCTTTAGAGTCTATGTGTGAAAAGAGAATTATAGGGATTTGAATATTTAAAACAAATAAAAAAATAAAAATTAACGTATATCATGATCATAAATTATATGGAACGACTAGAACTTATCAGGTATGAATTAAATCGGTATCTAGCTGCAATGATAGCAAATTTAAGCCAAATGTTTGATTATATTATTCACACCCCTTTGGATATCTCTGGCATTTCTGTCACTTTATAGCAAGTTAGTTTAAGATAGGTTTCTGATTTGAATGTGACATAAGAATTGTAGTATTATGGAGTTGCTAAGTTGCGAGTTTGCTCGCCATTGCAGGTATGCGTGGACAATAACAAACTGTGCGGGCTGCGAAACCCATATGGGTTGGCTCTTTACAGCCACAAAAAAGAATTTGAAGCCGAAATTTTTTTGGGGGATTCGAAGTTCCCAAGTTTCTGATGACCTGCACTAGTAAGTCTAATATATCTCAAATTTGTAATTGCTTCCCTGAATTTTCCTGTTACCGTGTAACAAGTACGATTTGTATAGCCCCTTCTGCCTATCTGCGAATTATTCGATGTAAAACTTGATGAGGTTGCCGAGTATTGTATGTGGGATAAGTCTTTAATCATTCTGAGCTCAGTCTGGCATTTAGTTTTCCAGTTGAAAGCGTGCTGCAACTTGCACTCGGTAAAGAAAATTGTTCCTCAAAAAACGGAGTTCTTGTTCTAAAAGACAAGGGCCCGTCTGGAAGCGACTCCCAGAGGGCCAGAATCACTTCCGAGGAAAGCACTTATCCCATAAAGTCACTTAACAGTGGTGCTCTTCTGAGAAGTGATTCTAACAATCTCAAAAGCTGTTTTGGTATCATGATATTAAAATTGATGTTATATAAAACTTGAGCCCTCGAAGAAGAGGTACAATCGATTTTTGCTTCTTATTTTTTGTTGGCAAAACGAAAATTACAATCTTTCTAGCGGTAGTAGAGATGGGACCAAACTGAATACAAATTATTAGTGGGAAAAAATGGTAGTTGATAGAAGTTGCAGGCTGCGAACACTGCGTATTTAACGGTAGCTTCTGTAGCGCGGGCTGTACATGCAACTCTCGGCATACTTGACGAGATCTTTTGGCCGAGGCAGATTAGAAGCCAGACCTGAAAACCAAATCGAATACGAGCTTCAGTAAATTGTGTTACAATACAGTGCTTGTTCCGAGTAGGACTTGTGAAAAAAGGAACTTACCGAGTTCATAGACCTTAGCAGCGACTTTAGCAGCAATGTTGGCTGATATCTTTCTGATGTTGGTAAATGGTGGGTAGATCAATCCTTTGGCGTAGTGTTCCTCGGAAACTTGCATAGCCAGAGCTTCAGCTGTTGCGAAATCAAAATGATGAGAGGATTTTCACAAATAACCAAGATGAGAGCGTTGATTTGAAACTTGTCGTTCGAGTACTACTTACAGGCTGCCAGAAGCATGTCATCGTGTACGCGAATGGCACCAGCCATGATCAATCCCAAGCCAAAACCGGGGAATATGTAGGCATTGTTTGCCTGAATGACATGGTTAGGGGACGGTAAGATGTTATTTTTTCAAATGAAGAGTGATTCGCAGCAAAATGGTTACTTGAGTTGGAAGGTACAAACCTGGCCAGGCACTAGGAGTTTGTTCTCGTATTCGACAGGGTCAAATGGGCTTCCACTACCGAAAATTGCTCGACCCTTCGTATGAGAAAAACGATATGATTGTTAAACAGGGTTCTGCTGGCTTATATAGCCGCATTATAACCCAAACGAAACTTAGAGAAAAGAGAAAGGGAAGGAAAGAAAGAGCGTATTGGTTACCTTGGTCCATGTGTAAGCTTCTTCAGCAGTACACTCAGCTTGCGATGTTGGGTTGGAAAGTGCTAGGATAAGTGGTTTCTGCATGCCAATCACCAGATCAATGTCACTTGCGTTGATCATCGTATATGAGAGAGAGAGAGAGAGAGAGAGAGAGAGAGTGAGTGAACCTCATTCAAGGATGCCATGGTCTCAACAACGTCCTTCGTGAATTGTTTTCCCACACCAGATGTTCCGATCAGCACTGTTGGCTTGATTGCCTGATGAATTAGGGAATGTGTAAGATAACAGGAGGAGAAACTACTGAAAGATATTGTGTTATTAAAGTATATTTCGCACCTTCACTGCGTCTACAAGTTGCTTTATGGGTTCATGATCATGAGCCCAAGGCTGCTTAAAGTGTTGAAGTGATCCTAGGCGAGATTTAACAATCAAACCCTGCAACGAATATGTTTCCCCGGTTAAAGCCAAAGCCAACATATAAGAACAGGAAAAGATAAACTAAGTAAACGCTTATAATCGAAAGGAAGAATTCAATCAGATTTTTAAGTACCTTAGAATCCACAAGCCAAATCTTCTTGCGGGCTTCTTCCAATGGAGCACGGGTCTGCCAAGATGTAAACACATAGTTAAACACAAATTCTTAACCGAAGAAACTGTTTCGGGGAGAGGAGGCAGAGTTGAGGTAAGCAAGTTAATACCTTTTTTGATATCTCAAGAGCTATAAGCTCTGCTATACCGGTTCCAGCCTTCAGTAGCAAAGAAGGAAAAGTTAAAAACAGCATCCAAAAACCAGTGCATTTTATGAACATACAGACTCTCAGCCTGAGTAGTTTTCGAGCCTCACCTCTCCAGCACCAAGAAATAAGAAAGTATGGTCACCTAATGTTCCGCCAAGTAATTTCAAGGAAGCGATGAGTCCTGCTAAGACCACAGATGCTGTTCCCTGAACCAAATTGAAGGAAAATAGTTTGTAAACATCCTGGAAGCAAGATTACTAACTGTGAAAAGAATGTCTAATGTGTTACCTGAATGTCATCATTGAAGACAAGGTGAGTCTTGCTGTATTTAGACAGCAGTTCAAATGCATTGTGGTTTGCAAAATCTTCGAACTACAGAAGAAACAAGTAACAGATAGCAAACGATATTCAGAGAGTGACGAAACCAGGAGGACAGAACTCAGAATTTCCATAAACCGAATAACATGAAAGATTAGAAAGACTTCTACCTACCTGAACTAGGACTTTCTCTCCGTAGTTCTGCTTAACTGCAGTCATGAATTCTTCGAGAAGCTCTGCATATTCCTATATCATAAAGGTAAAAGACCACCTCAATTTTATAGACTCTGTATTTCACATGGTTAAAACTTGAAACAACTGTGAAAGTAAAACAAAAGATATAAGGTGAAAAAAAAAAACAATATTTAACCTGTCCAGTTGCTCTCCTTTGCTTTAGCCCAATGTAAAACTCATCATTCAGCAACTTCTCGTTGTTTGTGCCAACATCAATGGTTATAGGCAAGCACTGTAAACAAAAACACAGATTTTAAACTTGCTGAGGCAAAATTTTCTGTTGCTTGTGTTGTTGAACTCAAAGAAAGGGGGCAGCAGTGTGGAGATGCTTACGGCTGAAGGAGGAACTCCTCCGAGTGCAGTATACAAAGAGAGCTTTCCAACAGGAATCCCCATGCCCTGAAAAATTTCGGGACATTCATGTCAATTAAGGTGACAGTGATTCAACCAAAGACAATGGTAACAATTCCAAGCAAAATATGTACATGCGTTAAACGGAACAGTTCCAACATAGTATACACACATAACGACTGCGTAGAATCTGCATCAAATACCTGGCAGCCAAGATCCCCGAGCCCCAAAATACGCTCACCATCAGTCACGACAATAACTTGAATACCCCTCTCTGGCCAGTTCTTTAGTACTTCAAGGATCTTTCCCCTGAAAAATTTTATCCCTCAATATATGCTTGACAGGTATGCAACTAATCATGAGAGATGAAGTAAAAACGTTATCAGATGGTCGTACTTCTCTTTCAAACTGATGTAAAGACCCTGTGGATGCCTGAAAATGCTCCCATATTTTTGGCAAGCCTCACCAACAGTTGGCGTGTACACGACAGGAAGCAGTTCCTCAACATTATCAATCAAAAGCTTATAAAACAGTCCTTCATTTCTCTCCTGCGCAATAAAACAAGAACGATGCCAGAAAAAGAAGCGAAAATTAATGACAACGAACCTGTTTGATAACAGTTGCAGTTTACAATGATCCACTGGTATAAAGCTTGTAAAGCAATAGATTACCTGAAGATCCATCATTGCAATGTACCTATGCAACGGAACTTCATATTGGCGAAGATTTTGCATCAACTTCTTCTCCTGATGATCGAAATTATGACACGAAGTTTAGCCGAAGATGAAACAACGAAAAGGAATCATTGAAAATGAAAGAAAATGATGAAAATGAAGTTTGAGGAAAGGTCGTTTTGCAAACCTGAAGCTCCTGAGTCAGGACGGCTGGAGGCAGAAGGCCGCGCAAGTAATGCGCATCTCTCTCCTTCTCTGTGAAGGCAAGTCCTTTGTTGTAGTGTGGATCACGCAGCAATGTGTATCCACTGTAACATATTTAGATTGCAGAAGATGCATTAAAAAATAAATCAAATTCTGCATTTTCAACTTTCTGGGAATTGATTCATTAACTAGAAACATGGTTTCAGCAAGTGCGGAATAAAAAGAGAAAACCATTTTAAAGATAAGTTTTTTTTTTTAATTCCAGCGTATTCTTAACGTAATCTAAACTACGGAAAGAGAGATTCGAACTTGATCCAAAGTGGATAGCTTGGGAAACTTAGAAAAGGAGAAAATCATAAAATCAGATTATCTCAAATAACCAAACAAGAAAAGAATAAAAAATGTGATCCCAAGCCAATAAAGCTCTCACTTTGCGAGGGTTACGTAGCCTTACTCTTACTTTGTAAAGAAGCTGTTTCTATTACTCGAACCTGTGACCTTTCGATTACAAATGAGCAACCTTTTCGTTGAGCCAAAGCTCGCCCTCGTACCAAGAGAAGAATAATTTGGAAAAATTTCTGACTGAAACTAAACATAGTTTGATTAAATAAAACAATTAAAAAAGGTTCAGCCATTTGATAATTGCTGGAAAAATAACTAAAATGAGCCTCAAAACACAAAATTTCCCGGGAAAAGGAGGAGGGAAATTTAGACAAAACTACAATAAAATGAGAATTTGCATAGGACAAAAAAAAAAATAGAATTATGCACACAGTTGCAGACAAAAATTCATGACATGGAAAAAGAAGCTGTGTGTGTTTGTTACCTAGCAACCGAGGAAGTCCATGGTGTGAGAACCTGATCTTCCGTGGCACAATCCTCACCGTACACGTCCTCAATACCTCCACCAAAGCCAGCCTTACTTTCCACATCCACCACTGAGTGGCCACCACCGTTCCTTATCTCCTCCACTACGCTCCCCATCAAAGCTCCGACCTTTTTCCGATCTCTAAATCCAAAACCCACCAATATCCTCCTCTGCAAAACGCAATGCAGTCCTCCAATGAAACCCAGAAAACAGGCAAAAGATGCAGACTTTCTTGTGTTTTGCAAAACAGGAACCCAAAACCTGCGTTTTATAGGAGTATAAAAGGTGGGATTTGGGTCTTACTTCCTACCCTTTGTGGAATTACAGAGGGTTTTTGAAAATAAGGTAGGTTTCGTTGTCAAAGAGAAGAACAGGGTCTAACAACGTGTGCTGCATTAGTC